TAACGAAATAATTTATTTTTGGTTTAATAATATAACATTTTATAAATATAATAATTAAGTATTCTGTTAGAACTCAATGATTATCCTAATTAGATTTTTAGATTTTTTATATTTAAAATGAGATGTTTATCCTGTATTTGATTATGTTTATCTTCAATTAGTTACACGAATTCAGATATGGAGCTTTAATAAGTTGTACTTACGCAAAATCTATTTGTAATCTTGAGTTTTAAGTAATATGCATTAATAAACAGTACTTTACGCATAAAAAGTGGGTTTTAAGAGTTTTTGTCAAATGTTTTATAATATAGTATGTATATATATAGTTATTATCTTAGCATTCTAAGACGGAATGATCTCGACTGAATAGGGTTAAAGGTGAAAAATGTAAAAAGAGATTTAAATTTTTGATTACTTTTAATCTTATTTTCATTTAATGAATTGTGTTTCTCACATTAATTGATCCAGGGACGGACCTATAATGGTGCATACAGTGGTACGTGTCACCATATTATTCCTCCGTCGAAAGGTAAAAAAAAGGTAGGTTCGTGAAAGGTGCAATCATATGTATTTTGAAACTACAATGAGAACAAGTTTTATTTGGTAGAGTTGGTTTGTAAAGCTTTTATTCCACCCCAGACTCAAATTTGATTTCTGTTAGTGTCATTTTCTTAGTCAAATGATGTCATCGTTTGAAAAAAAATCAGTATATTTGTTTCTTATAGTCAAACAGTGCTACCTTTTGAAAAAAATTATCTATATTTTTTTCTTATAGTCAAATGGTGCCACCGTTTGAGAAAATATATGAGTCCGTCCCTGAATTGATCTGATACATTTTATTACTGTTGATCTTTAATTAGCATTGATTCAAAGATGTAGATTCATCCATACTCTTCTCACCATAAAATTCCATCCTCATGGAACTCAACCCTCTTTAATAAATGTATTATGATTTTGTAAAATAAAATTAAGGATTAAAAAAAACTTATATTCAATTTTATAATTTCTTTTTAGAGTAAACTAAGATCCTATGGTTTGTTCATCATTCGAAAAAATTAAATGATAAAATAGACTCAAATTTTTAATCAGTAAATAAGGTCTAAGAAGTTGCTTGTTTACCTCTTAATAGTTCCATTAAGAAACAGTCTTTGAATCGTTAAGAGATGAATCTTGTTTGGCAAAAAAAAAAAAAGATTTGCATCTTAATGGTTTTAAAACCCTCTGAATGATTTTGTATCACGGGTCTTCCTTAACCATTCAGCACTCAAATTCCATTGTAAACAATTATATTTCATTTTGCACTATATCATAAGAGTCTCTTAATCATTCTGACCACTTAATCATTCAACATCATCATTCAGCAACTGCTAAACAACCCCTAAAATACATGTAGTAGATAATAGCCCAATATGAGCCAAAAAAATACATAACACGAGACCGAAAAGAATTTATTGAAAATTAGACCAAAAAATATTATTTAAATCTTTTGATTTAATTACACATCACACCCCTTCATTTTCTGCTATTCCATGATTGTTTCTCCAACACCCAAGGTTGATTGGGTTGTTTTTGTATTCAAGTGGTTCAAATATGTTGAATTAATGTCAAAATAATATAGTTATGATATACTTATCTCATTATATATAGTTTGTTTGGAAATTATATCTTGACAATCTTGAGGTGATAAGTACAAGGATGGTGTCTGATTGGTTTGAGCATGGCTCCAAAGGTCAAAAGTACCTGGAGGTTCTAGGTTCAAATCCAAAGAGAAATAAAAATCTCTTTGTGGCCACGAATGTTCAAATGCAATGACTCTGGACTATCTGCAAAACCAGTGGTTGCCCTGGGATTAGTCGGCTCGCATAGCGGGTTGGATATCCAGATTCATCAAAAAAAATCTTGAGGTGTTTAGGAATGTTCGTATTTTAAAGTGGGAATAAACTGAGGCCCTAATTTTTTGTTGAAAATATGTAAGTTATTCATCCATCTATTTTGTTGAGTGATGTTCTTGGAGGTGCAATGTGATTGTGTGATAGCAGATTTGAAATAAAAATGGATTGTAATGATGTGTTGAGTAAAAGTTTGTTTGTTAGCAGCTTAATGAGTTTAATGAGGACTAACAGCTTATTGAGTCAGTAATATATGATTGTTTGGTAGTGGCTTAATGATATAGAAAGTGTTTATTCAGTAAGTTTTTAAGGGGAGCTTTGTGCAGAAAGTTTTTTTCCAGGACTGCTCCCCCAACTAAAAAACATGTTCCTTCAATCTATGAAAAAAAACCTCTCAAACAAAAACTTATTCAATTTATACAGATAGATTAATCCACACAGACAATCTCTAAGCTTGATAGTGTGAGTAGAAATATAGATAAATGACGTAGAGAGAAACTAAGATTGAAAGAAATTTTGATTTCAACTTGTGGCCTTAAAAACGAATTTGTGGACAAGTGACGTGGGCCACCGATAGGATATTTAAAAAAATCAAATTCATGGACTAGTAAATATGTGGAATTTTCTTATTATTTCTAAGAAAAATATTGAAGACGTACAATTGAATTATATTATTAAAATAGTATTCTACAAAGACCAATGTTGCATTTATCAATACTTCAAAATATGTCAAGACAAATAGAATTCGTGGAAGAATGGCAGAACCACGAGTCTAAGGCTAAATGACGTGTTTATGTTTATTTGATATTCTTTATATGTTTCAATGGATAGAAATACAGTAATTAGAGGATTTTGTTTATAATCAGAGATTTGTAATAACTTTGTTTATTTGATAGCTAGTAATGGTGTTTTAGCTTTGGTATGGTGGCGTGGCAATTGGGGGTTTGTCGACATAACCTATATATATGTTGTTAGATAATGCTTATCTAAATTTGGGGATGGTAATTTGCTCCGATCTGGTGGGGAACCCGTTTCACCCGACCCGAACGAGGACGAGGATTCCCCGCTAAAACGGGTCCCGTAGTTGGGGATCCCCGGTAGACTCAAACCGGGGTTGGGGGATGTTACTCAAACCGGGACCAGGGATCCCCGGTAGAATCAAACTAACGGATATTCTTCATGGATTTGACCGGGGATTGATAGAGGTTTGACCGGAGACGGGATGTTAATCCTCGTACCCGCCGGAGATTACAAAACTCGCCCCATCCCCACCCCATTGCCATGCCTATCTAAATTCTATTATTAATGATTTTCCATATGAAAATGTTTGAATTTGTTATATTTTTTATATTCAAATTTATTTTTGATATTAAAAAACATTAATATAAGATTTTTCTGGTACTTGTAGGGGCCATTTTTTTGGAGCATCCATGGCCTATAAAATGTCAGGAACGAATCTCTTATTTGTAACTACTATCGTCATGATATAAATATACTTTTTCTGTCACTATGATTTCCTTTCGTTTCACGTTCCGTCCATGAGGCTACCAACTTTAGAAAAGTTCGTTAAATTAGGGGCTAATATGGTTGTTTTCACAATTTTGTTTAATTTTTATAACACCGCGGTTACATTACTGACCATTTTACCATTTAATCTCAAAAAATAATCAAATATTAAACCACTAAAATATACGGGATATAATTTTGAATAAAACTCCGAAATGTCCACTTTAATTTGTTGTGTTTCATTCATTTTTTTTTCTTTTTGAGCAAAACATAAATCAACCCAAAAGTTTTAAGATTTACAATTCAAAAGTTATTTATAACCAACCGGGGACATATCTACCTGATAGAATATATCCAAAAGAGCTAAGTTAACACTTGAGTCAAATGTTGGGTTTGAGTTTTTATGCTTAAGTGTTGTATTTAATCTTGTTTCTCCTTTGTAATTTTGTATTGTATTTATCCTATAAATAAGTTTTGTTTTTGTAATCATTGTAAGAATCTAAGTGTGAGATTGTAAGGATACTTTGAAGATTAATAATCAAGATTGAGATTCTCTCTAATTTTCTTCTACTTTCAAGATACTTGATTT